CCGGGAACCCGCGCCCCAGCTGCCCTCGCTGCGCCGAGTCAGGCGGCCGGCAGGGACACAGCCGGGCTCCGGCTCCTCCTGCGGCACCAGCCTGGGCAGCGGGAAAGGAAAACGCCCCCAGAGAAGGCACCCTGCTGAGAGTGGTTATCTGACCTCGGCCTTGCAGGACCACAGTAGCAACAGACCTTTTCTGCCCTCTCTACAACACAAGGAAGATTTTCTAAACGTTACAGTGCAAGGTGCAAATAACACAGGACTTTGAGCAACATGTTCTGTTACAGCATTACAAAAATGTAATGTAAACATGTAAAATAGTAGTACTATCAACTGTTGACTCTGCTAAACAAATGAAAAATAAAGGACTAAGCATGGGAATATCCAGAGAATTCTGAGCAACCACAACCTCCTTGACTACATCTGTATTTAAAATTTTGGTCTCAATTTATTTAACTGAAATAACAGACAGATGCTCAAGTGAAGAATTCAATGTATATTTATTATTCACAGTTAATTACTATCTACCAAATGCTGCTGCAGAGTTAAAGGATTAAGTACATAGGCCTTTTTTATTTAAACATTGATTTTTTTTTTTTAATATATATACACACACAAGACATATGTCTGCAAGGCTGCATGATATACACCAATTCCAAAATAAGGAAACAATCAAATGGTCCAGGTGTAGAATGCCATAGATTCCTTTTCCAATCACTTTACAAAGAAGGAAGAAAGTGAGTGACAGCTAGCAAGGAGAGGGGGAGAAAGTAATACTCTACAGGATAGCTCTCTCTTTCACCTGCTGGAAAATTAAAGTGTAAGGCAGAGTCCATCTCAGGAATAAAACATTTGTAACACTTAGTACAAAAAAAGGCACCCTCCAACAAAAGATTGCCCGTGCTCGGGCAGGGCGGGAGGAGACCTCCGCTGCAGTTTTTGGATTCGTTGGTGGGGTGAAGGGATCCAGCCAAACGGCCACCAAAAGGAAAAATACCGCAACTGAAGATTGGCACGGAGCGCGGTGCGGCTTGGTTGCTTTCCTTTCCTTTCCTTTCTTTCCTTTCCGTCCAATTGGATGACAGCTGCTCTGGTGGAGGAGCAAACGGCCACAATAAATGCCATTAACGGTGCGGGGCGGGGGTTACAGTCATCACACAGCCTGCTGTGAATGGCGAGCGGGGCGGGGGAAGCTACGGCAACAGGAACACTGACCTGAGGAGGGAGGAGAGACTGGAGAACGGTGATGCCAACCCCACTTTTCAAGAGCAACACGACTGCAAATATTCCCTATCCAGGCCAAAGAGACAGGCTGATCACATGCATCACATAGAAACATTCACTAGTAGCATAAAGTTTTTTTCAAGCACTATTTCTTGAGGTTTCTCTGCATTATAAAGTTTTCCATCGAAGGAATGTACATTTTATAGGACATCTCAGGGCTATTATTTCTCAAATTCCCCCCTTAACCCTCCCTCCCCAAAATATTCTTCCTCGTTTTCCCTGGTCATAACTTCCCCCTTTCTCTTACTTCTTTTGAAGCTCCTGGTTGCAGCTCCCCACCTCTGAGCAGCCTAGGCTGCAACTTGACTGCCTGGATTTGACTTTCCTTGGAATAAGGGAAGTTGAACAGTAAGACAAATCTTAAGATTAAAGCTCCATCTCCGTTTGTAGATTTTTTTTTTTTCCCAAATGTCCATCGATAAAATCACCCTCTTTTACACCCTTCCCCCAGAAGTATTTATTTACACACAGGCAGAAACAAAAACCCTCTGAAAAGCTCTGGACTGTCCTTTTAACTTAAAAAAATAAAGAAAACAAGGGAAAGGCACTATGGAAAAAATTACAGAATGTGCTCAACCGTACACCTTTAAGGAAAAAAAACAAAAAAGCTGTCAGCACAGCATTAACAGACTTCAGTTGAACGTTGGAGTTTCTCAAAGCAGCTCTGTGACTCAAAAAGAAAAAAAAAGAAAAAACACAAACAAAAAACTAAAAAGCCATACAACTCTTCTCCCTTCCCCTGCTTGGAAGCTGCTGAGCTTCAGAAGAAAGTGCCAAAGGAGAAGAGACAATAAAAATTAGATTAACACCTCATCTTTCCCAGGCAAGAAGAGCTGAATGTTGAAGGCAAAAGCAGAGACTGGTGTTTTTTTTCTAAAGGCAGAACTGTGCATTTAATTCTTCTCTCATGTCCCTTCAAGTCAAATGAAGACCGTTTGCAGAGAGAGAAAATACCAGCAGAGTTTCTCCCTTTTCCTTTAACTGCATGGCTAGGACTTTATATGGCATTAAAACTTCATGCACTGATGGACAGAGGAGGAGGGGGAAACAAGAAGAGTGAATGAAAGGGGGTAACCCAGGAGCAGCTGAGGAAATCTGTTATTTTCTTTTTTTTTTTTCTCTCTCTTTTTTTTTTTTTTTCAAAGATAAGTTTTGGTGTGTAAGTTGAACTCGTTCCCCCCACCCCTGAAGTTCCGTACTGAGTGAAGGAGGATCACCTCATGGTGAAAGGTGACTCAGGTTTTATCGCCGTGTGATTTTAGGTCACTGGCTGCAGTTAGGCTCTGTATGTGTATTTACTGTTTCTCTGGTTTCTTTAAATAATCTCTAATATTTATCTCTAGATGTTCCGGTTCACAGGGGTCACATAGTTGCGTGGAAACATGCCCGTCTGTCCGTGGCAGGCTCCCTTCCACCAGTTGGGGTCAGAATTGTCAAGGACTTGGATAAAGTCTCCCCGACGGAAGCCCAGCTCTCCTTCCTCCTGGGGATCGAAATCAAACAGGGCCTGAACGTACGTTGGTTGCTGGAAGGGGAAAGGAAAAGATACACAAAGTGAGAATCATCCACAGCACTTGAAAACATCTGCTCCCCCAGGCAGCAGCTTAACAACAAACACACAGGCTGCTTCATTTCCTGCAAACCAGCCTCCAACATCTGTAACAAGATGCAGTCTATAGAAGACCTCAGAAAGGAGTCAAGCTTCTGTGGAAGAGCTGAAATAAAGACAACAGATGATTCAGATGTTTCCCTAGTATTTTCCAGTCTTCCTGACCTACTCTAAATCTGTACTCTATCACAGTACAACAGTGATTTTGCTCGTTCACCCTGTTTTCCCCAACATCATGAATACTACTAATCCTACACAACACTGTGATGCACAAAGTTCTGCCTAAAAAATGCATTTTACAGATTCCTTAAAACTCTCCAATATAAAAAAATTCTGTCATGGAGCATTTTGTCTGGTCAGCTAATACTTTCTTACAGAAAAGCTAACAGTTCACTTGAAATGCATTCTTAAAATGGTGAGGCTAGAATGGTATCTTTATGCCTGTCATTTTCTGCCAGCTGTTTTCTCACCCTCTGTTTATCACTGACCCAACAGTGCAGAGACAGATGTTAGTTCAAACAAATGAGGGCAAAGGGTGCCCGTGGCACCTGGAGAGCACTATGAATTCCACACCCTCTGTCTTCAAGCTAGAACTAGAATGCTGTGCATGGAAGCAAAAGGACTTATTCAAAATTGACAAAAAAAAAAAAAAAAAAGAGTCCAGTTACATACAACATAACATTCTGATTGCCCTGGGAAATGGAAAAACACAGAGCTAGATACACACTTGCTGCTCTGCTGGCACTTAGCAGGACTTTTTGTTTTCTCTTAATGTTGAATAGATCCAAACCAGAAGGCTAGAAATGTTCCATATGCTACTACCTGTAACCACCTCTTCAGGGAAGACCAGCACCAAAACTTCACTGTTCTGAGGGGTACAGTTCTGGCTATGAACCAGTATAAACAAGAACTATCCTTTCTCACCATGTCCAAAAACAGGCATAAGCCCACTTTTAATACATAGGATTCAGATGACCTTCCTGCCATAGTGTCCATAAACACTAAGACAAGCCAAGTGTTCACATAGCAGCAGTATCACTTGGCCACTACTGAAGAGGACATTTAGGGAGTCAGCAGGTAGGCTTTGCACAAATGTCCAGCTTATCTACCAGTGTAATTCTGGCTGCAAGATGTAAAGACACACTTCAACAGACAAGGAACATATCAGTCAGCTTCTTTCCATCCCTATTAATTTAGTGTAAGCATTCAACAAGGACAATTCTCTTACCTGTGGCACCTGCTCTATGTCCCGGAGAAATATTTGCTGGTTCCTGGAGACAGATGTGGATCTGTGATAATCTACCAGCTCGTTCAAAGAATTGAACTTCACCACCCAGAGGAAATACTTGCCAGCCCCATCTCTAAGCACCTTGAAGTGCTGCACATCGTTTCCAAACCTGTGTGGGAAGAATGAAGAACGCAAAAAAGCACATTTTTAGTCATCAAGTACTCTTCTTTTGGGATCATCAGTGGAGCTTGGAACAAAGAGGTCCTTCGGGGCACAGTGAAAACTTTCAATGTCACTGACAATATAGATACCAATGGGCTGCTGTAAAAAAGGTGGCTGAAAACACACTTGTCAGTTGTATTTGACAGAAATCGGTCATCAGAGAGATAGAATCCATATAGTCTATTTTGAAAAAATCCTGAAAGCTTCACATGTGCTTTTCTTACAATGGGACTTCAGTCTCAAACCACCTTTTCAGAATACTCTAAATTTGCAGAAGTTTGAGGTCTTTATGTGAAGGAAGTTTCACAGCACTCGCTATATCTTGGGAGACATGCTGTATTTCAGCATTTTATTTTACCCTACATCTCCACACAGCTGACACCCAGTACACATACTTCTGATGCACATGTTCAGCCACCCGAGTCGCTGAAGACAGTGCACAGGGTACCACGGGAACAGGCCATGGCCTCTGCAGTGCAGATACAAAGCCCCGTTAAAGCAGCTGCCCCGTGGTGCCTTCTGCTCTACACTCCCAAATACGAGAGATTTCGGTTTAGCTCTTCACACGTAGCACTTCCACAGCTGCCTGGAACCAGTTTAGGTTTGTGTGGCTCTGGCTCTGTACCTCTGCACTGCTGGCTGCTGTGATAATGCAATACATAAACACCAGTCCCATTACAGGTAAATGGCTGGGAAAGACTGCCACAGGGAGGGCAGGATTGCCTCTTCTGGCAGCCAGTCTGGACTGATGCAAAAGATTTGTCTTGCAAAAGGAAAGGATCTCTCTGGTCCTTAAAACAACTCCCCCCTGCACTCAAAATGCTCTGAAGGTGATGTGGCACACCTAACACCGCAACTATAATTCTGCATTAACAACTCTTTTCTGGCAAAGGATGGCATACACTTGAGGATACTTTTATTAACAAACAATTTTATCCTGAATAAAGAGGAACTCCAAAGAGGTCCACTGGGATTTTCCGGATGAATGGCACAACGGTATTTTTACTTCAGTCTGAAACACTGCAAACAGAGGACAACTGTTCCCCACTTGGCATGCACAGCTTCTATACATTGGCTGAAAAAACAGACACTCTCTTGGCTACAAAGCTACCATGAAACAACTTGAGTACTGCCTCTGCTCTCCCTTCCTCAACCTGAGAGTCGCTCACCACTTCAAATCCTGCAGATCACTGTTTAGGAAAAAAAAATTTCTAAATTAAATGAGGAAGGGGAAAAAAAAAAATCAACAGAGAAACTACCACCAGATGGCAACACTATGCTAACAGGCAGGAGAGCTACGCTCAGAACTTTGTTTCTTAGAGGAATGCACTTTTTGAGATGAAGCTTCCATTCGTATCTATTATTCCAGCTCAGATGATTGTATCCCAGGCAGAAATGTAAACACCTCTAAAGTCACTGGTTTTAATCCAGTTTGTGGTCATGACTCAGTGCTGCTCTACAGGAGGACAAAAATTTAGTTACAGACCAAAGATGACCAGGACAAAAAAAGCAATCCTGTGAAGACTGATCACTGATACATACAAGACAATAGAGCAAGCTAGAAATTGTTCATGAATAATCAAAAATTGTTAGGATTCCAAGGAAAATCTTCATTTCTGGTAGGAAAGGTGCGAACACTACAGAAAATACAAAAGACAAAAATCAAGTGCTGAGGGCAGAATCCCTCCCACCCTCAACCCACATTAAATTACATCACATATCCTTTCAGGTTCCTAACCCCTCTATTTTACAATGACTTCAGATGGGCAAGATGGGTAGCACGGTATTACATGGGCCATGGCTAACAGCAGGAACTCATGCTGGTTAACAGCCAGTACTTGCAGTAATGTTCTTAGGGGAAGAGACGTGCTCCCCTCACTTCACTGGTGTTAAACTGGGCTTCTCTATCAATGTGGAATGCACTTGCCAGAGTTCCAAGAGGCCGCTTTTTTCATGGTTTCATGTCCCAGTGCTAGACACCATTAATGTTCCCAAAGCATGAGCCAAGCAGACAGGAAAAACTTATTTGGACGTGTACTACACAGGGAGAAGGTATAGCAGTAACTGGTAGTGCAGAATAGGAAAGGAGGGTGCATGAAAACATGTACGTGCTGGGCACTTTGTGGCTATAAGGAGGAATGGGATCCACAAACAAACCTGCAGCTATACCTGGGACTACCTGAGGCAGACAGCAACATGCCACCAGGTCAGCCCTGTAAGCTAATTACACACCAGAGCCTATGTATTTGTTCTGTTTGAGGGAGACTACGTAGGTCTCACTGGAAGAGCAAGAATGCTGCTATAGGGCATCTAGAAGATTGTGTCTGCTCCTCAGCACGGACAGTCCCCTGCCCTTTACCCACAGTCCAAGTGAGCAGTAGATGGCCCAGGGACCACGTGTGATTGCTTCTGGGCATTACTTACTTGACAGAGAGGGAGAAGTCCCCAGGAGCACTCTCGCTCTCCCTGATGAGGAAGGCACCATCATGTCTCTGTTTGCCTAACATCTCTTCAGCCTTTGCTCGGGGAATCTTTCCAAAAAACCACCTGTGTAGTGAGAAAAAGAAAACAACAGGGGAAGTTAAGAATTTTAATCCTTTCACAGAAGAGCCAGATGTAGATATTCACACAGAGATGAAATGATTCCTAACAGAACTAACTATGCTGCACCTCACTGCTACTCCAGTACAGGCCACTGAACCATGCAGCTTCTCACAGTGCTTCATCCTGGCAATGACACAACCGTGACTTGACAAGGAGGTGCTACCCATGGCCCTATTTCACCCAATTTAAACAAAGCAGAGACGTGGTAAGAATGAAACACTCAAATCATAGGATTTATGGGGGTGTGCGTGTGGAAAAAAACCTGCTCAAAATTTAATGCATTACTCACATTGTTTTGCACCCTGTTGTATCTGCAGGTTAGTATATATGACATCACGAGAACCTAACGTGCACAACTGCTTCACAGCAAAGTCTGCTTTTGAGACTAAGACAACTACCCTGGGAACCAGCTACAATCTTGGACAAAGTTAAAATGCCTACTGTGGTCTGCATTGATATCTCAGTCATTTGCCCTCATAACCTGAAATTGAAGAGATCAAATGCCCAGCAAGAAACTCAAATCTCTTACTCCATCACTAAGGAATAAAGCCTCACGTCTCTACAAGCAAAGTTTTAATTGTCCAAATTGTATGATGCCATCAACTCAGAGATAACAAAGAAGTCCTGCACTGGTGGCTGGTCACTACTGAACGTGCCTATGATATAGCAGCATTTATTTTGCTATTAGTACCCAAAGATAATCAGTTGGAGTAATTATAGTCTCCTTTGTTATTTATGCCTCCTATAGAGAAGCCATCCTTGCCTTAGCCATGATTTGCAGAACCAACAATATAGAATATGTAAGTTATTAAGAGTGAAGCACAAAAATGTCATTGTTTTAGTGCATTAACATCTTTAAAAAAAAAAGTAGTCTTTGCAAAATGCAGGGGAAACACTGGGAGTCCATTCAGCTTTCTCTTCAGAAACTTTACAGCTATAGAAACAAGATCCTGTCTATGGATTGACCCATCCTGCACAAGTGGAAAGTACATGTTGTATCAGAACCAATTTCTAGGCTCTTTTAGATCAGGTGGTAAGACATGACTATGTCAGCAGAGAAAAGGAACAGTTTCAATCAGCAGCTGGTTGTTCCTGCAGCCTTGAGTTCAATCATTCTGACCCCTACCAGAGCACTGCTGTCAAAGACAGGTATCACATGTCAGAAAGCTCAGGCAGGTGCCAGGAGTGCAGTTTACACACAGAGCAAGCGAGGAGAGTTCCCTCAAGGTCTCTCCACTTCATTGCAGAGGACACTGAGCTGGGCATGCAACAGGGTTCTAGGAAACACACTGACAATATTTGTTTCAGCAGCCTATTTCCCTGGCTTCTCCCACAGTCAGGACAACCTAGCAGCTTTCATATAAGCCATCACATGAAATAGCTGCACCACGAAGCCACATCTGAAATTCCTGACATCTGCACAGAAGTCCAAGCTACAGGCTGACCACCTCCATGACACCAAGGGTGAACCTACCTCAGGCAACCAGATCGTCAGCACTGACCCACAGCCCCTGGTCACAAGATTCTTACCCACATTTACATTCACATTTCAAGACCAACCCAAGACTTAAAGCCAACGAGGGTTGAGTGGTAGGTCACATGGCGTGGGAAAAGCAGAACCATCTTCACAACCAAGAAGTACAGCTTTCAGTTCTGAGTAACAGATCACACAGGATAGGAGCACTCACCGCAGCCCATAACCACGCAGATGACTGACCTTAGGGGAGAATGTTTAGTAACAAGAAGCTCCACTCACAAAGTTTACTTTCTACAGTGAGGATTTTGGTGCAGCAAAAAAGAGCTGCAGAGTCCTCTTAAGAACAACTGTTTTAGGGAGAAGTTGAAGCTTTCACAAAGTCACAAAGTCACCGGATCTTCCTCTCTTAAGAGGAAGCTGTCTCTAGAGCTGAAGGACCACCAGATTCACCAGATAGGATTACAGACTCCCAGCTACAGGCAGCCCTTGCTCTTCTAACTGTCCATCTTCAGGATCTTTTCACCACTGAAGGCTACACAAAACCATATCCCTATATTAATGTCAAGGCTAAAGAGTCCACAGATGTATTTCTATTATATGCAACGTAGACAAAGCAATTCTAGGCCATCCCTCTTGTCCATGGAGTGTTCACTCCTTTAGCTATGCAGCTCCATTATGAAGAGCATTTGGGCACTAAAAATGTTACCTTTTGTTTACAAACTAAGTTTCCATGACCACCTACATATGTTTTACTTTCTCTGCAGGTCTCATTGTGTACTTTTTATCCCCTGGAATGGAAAGGAAAAGCTTTCTCTCACAACCTTACTATTTCCAGTGATAAAGAACTTCACAGCATTTAGTACCTCAGTGGCAGACACAGCAGAATGAGCATCTGCCTGTCTCTCACTGCACTCTGCTGCCTTAAAAAAAAAAAATCAACCAAGAGAAATAATTCTGTGAAAATTCCTCAGAATTCAATGGTAATTTTTTTCTTTCCTGGGCTTCTGGCACAATTGTCAAAAAGATAAGGAAGTCTTGAATTTTTCCTCTGCCAAATGTTACATAGAGAAAGCTTTATTTTATGATTTTAGATATCTTCCTATAGTTGTTTATAAAGTGATTTTAATTCCCTTTATTTATCAAAGATTTCTTTGTTACTCACATGTGACTTGGAAAGGAAAGCCTCGTTTTAACCCAAAACACTTATCTCTGTAAAATAGAAGGAAAGCCTGAAAGAGCTCAACAGAACATCCATAATCCCTCCTGCAGCCTAAGAATACCCTATTGCCCCCTAAATGTCACTGAATGACAACAAAGTAGAAATGTACAATTTGATTAAAGGACAAGACACTTCCAAAGTAACAACCTCAAATTATTAAAGTTTTCTGCCATCTGTTTCTAGGCTAGGCACTTTAAATACATTAAAAATCTTTCACAATTCTTGGTACTCCCTTGCAGTTTTATGACTTCACTATCACTTTAGCCATTCAAAGTGCTTGAATTCTAAAAAAAGGGTGAAAAGAAAATCCCATGCCTGAAACAAAGTTATTCTGAAGGACTAGTGTCTACCTACAAACACAGTTCTAGAGCATCAGAAGTGTTGTGCACATACTGATCTTTGCTACAGAATGACTGAAAAAAACAACTAAAAATTACAGCATGTCAAAAATCACACATGGGGAACTAGGCCAAATGGACCACAGCATTCCCACAGCTTCCCTGCTGAAGAGCTAAGCTTGATAACACTTGTCTTTAGCTTTGTAATGTAGGTGAAACTCAGCCAGTCAGCACGGCAAAACCAAATCCCGGCGTTACTGGAGGCTGCACAGCCAGAGGGAGATGCACCCTGTGGAACAACACAAAGCTCACATCCCTTGCAGACTCGCTTCAATCGACACGTGAGCAATCCTTTTGGCTTTTCTTCACACCACCTTTTAGCTGGGCCAATTTCCTCCACATAAGTTACAATACTGCTAACTGAGATTTCAGCAGTGTCTTCAAGAAAAGCTGATTATAAACACAAACACTTGACATACACACCCCCTGAGTCTGAGCCAGGTTGTTTCATAAATGCAAATTCTTCCTCTGCCCCCTTAAAATAGAGAAAGGCATGTCCTGGAACTGAACTGCCCTGCTGTGCCTTCACAGGAAGCCTCCCTGCCCAGAGCTTCCTGCAGCTCTTCTCCAGTATCATGCCTCAGACTGCTTACATCTTTGCTTTGTTAATTGATGTGGCAGCTCAGATTAACCATTCAGAAGCCAGGTGGCTCAGCTGCTGACCAAGAGGCACCACATTTTCATTTTACCTTCATTTCCTAGTAGATACAAAGCAACCTGCAAGATTTGCAAAATACAAGCAAGAGGAAACACTGCATATAAGACTAGCTGTGGGGCTGGAGGATTTAAGTCTCAGATCGTAGGACAGGATTTAAAGTCTTTTTCAGTTGCTGTCTTTCCAAATCCTCTTGAAAAGCTCTCCTGCCACCTTCCCACAACATGATTTGACACTAGTCTGAGAAAAGGAACATTCTCTTTCTCACTCTGGGTCAGCTGTCTGCAATTTGCCTTTTGTATGACCTGTGTAACTACTCAGAGAGCTCTGCATTACAGCTAAGCAAACATCATGCTATAAAAACTTTTGCATAATTTCCCAGGGTTGTTAATGCACTAGTTAAGACTCCCAGCATTGCTGACACATGAAGCGAACTCCATCCAGCTGCCATCAGCAGTTTAAACATCTTCAGAAAAGGTCAAATTAACTACGCTTAAAAAACACTACTAGATTTACCCACTTGCAGGCTCAGATATTGTTCATTCCCTTTCAGTATCAAAAAGTGAGTGTCTGACAGCTCTATCCCTCTAAAACAAAACACCATGGATGATTACAAACCAAACTGATCACCATCATCACAGGAGACATCACTACAGTGCAACTCAGATGTCTGCAAAACCGTTATGAGAAGGCAGACACAGGATGATTCAGATCAATGACAGAGAGAAATTGCAGTGTGCACTTGTGATCCCCAGAGCACTAGTGTGGGTGAGCAGGGTAGGGCAGACATCTTACTCCATCAGACAAGGCTTTAAACAATTTCAGAATTTTCTTATGCATCCTTGCTTCCCTTCCCACTTGGCTGCCCTAAAGCACTACTTCTCCTTCTTGGCCCACAGTCCCTCAGAAGCTTCTTTCTGCCATTTAAAAAGAGCCCTTAGAAAAATAATTGATTGGATTTAACTGCAATATCTTAATGATATCATTATAGCCAACAATTAACAAATAAATTGTCAGTTTGTGGGCAACAAACACCACAGCTCCTTCTAAAAACCCTGATTTACAGGTTTTGCTGCCCCTTCCTAAACCTTTTCTCCCCTCTGAATTCGTTACCCAGAGCTTGCCATTTTCTTGTTCAGATGCTGAAGGATCTCAAAGGTTGGCAGAACCAGAGTGTAGTAGACTGACACAAAGAAAACATCCAGTCACAAAATACTACTATTTTCACATGCTAGATTCTTTATATCCAAAAGGAAATGTCCAAAGTAGTTACTCAAATGCAGTTCTTTGGAGCTGCATATCAATGCAACTGTACTTGTGTAACAGTAAATGCCCTCTGAGATTGGCCTCTTTTGTGAGGAAGGTGTTAGACTAGCTGACCTGAACAATTTAGTGATTCTGTACGTGGGATGTGACACAGATGTACTAACAGCTCAGCTCCAAGTAAGCTTACACATTTTTCTGGTGAGCTGTGAATGCTACAGTATTTACTCTTATCTGCTACACTAAATAAAATAGAGATTTATTTTTTCTATTTCCAATTCAAAAGAACACGGTCACTCTTTTTTTCTCGGGCAGTGGTGGTGACAACCCTTTACTAAAAAGAGTTTTCTGCTACTCTATGCCTACTAACCCCAAGATCAGTCAGTGTGACCCTAGTGCAAAGTACCAGAGCACCCTCCAGAAAGGCTTCCAAAGCTACCCTGGCTAGCTGTGAAAGGAGTTACAGCCAACACTATAGCCAGAGGTACAACTTGGCACCCATCCTTTTTGTATCCATACGTTTTGGTAAATCCAGTACATTTGCAAAATATTCAGGAGAAAAACTTCCTTCTGTTTGAGAAGATGTGCAGAAGTAAGATCAAGGGAGCCCATCATCAAAGCTCTACTTACGGATGTGGTTTCATTTCTATGTAGTTCTTGGGAATGAAGCCATCTTTTCCATTGAGTTCTGCCTTGTACCAGTTCTGATCGCATTCTTCATTCAAAACCTGAAGGAAGCAAACAAAATATAAGCTTATCACATTGCAAGATAGAGCAAAACTAATGAAGGTACCAGCTTATTCTTCCCATTCTTGTTTCAAAGGCTGCTTTTGTAAGATGAAATTATAACAAATGGTGTTAGTCATTCTGCTCCACTGCATCTCACGAGTGTTCAGAACTGTGGCGAACAAGCTGGACAAGTGATTTAAAATAGCCAAAGGATTTTAGTGCCAAACACCCATGTTTTAGTAAGAAAGTCACTAAGTCCACAGGTACTTTTAACAAACAACATAACTAGACTGAGATCCATGCCAAAGATTAAGTTGGCTGTCAACATCACAAAATTCTGACCAAAATCTGCAAGCCAAGAAATTCCAGTTCTTTACCATTTCTAATGATTGCTTTTTCCTGAATTCAGCTGACAGATGTGATGCATTCAGCATAAATGTGATTTCATTCAGCTTTTCTGCATTTGCACTGTTTGTACACTGGATGTGTTAAAGATTCTAGGCAACATCCGGATTATAGAGAATTTTTCAAAAACCCTCCCTCATGACAACAACAGCACACACCCAGTTGTAGATATAACTGACAGCTTCAGATAGTTTTACTGGTATAAGTTAAAACCAGGTTAAATTGGACAGCAGAAACAGGGACTTGCCTGTTGAGCATTTTTTTATGTTAATAAAAGCCAGTTAAAGACAAATTCTTGTAAATACAGGTGAAGAAAGTTTTTCTTCTTCTTTTAAAGGGTTATTCTTCTTATTGTAACTTTATTCTAAAATGAATGAAAGATCAGGAGTCACAAGAGAGAAGCCATGTGAACAGGTAGTTTTAGAAGGCACAAACTGATACTTCACAGCATACTTGCTCCAGGAACTTTGGTACTTTATTCTTCATTAAATTTCTGCAACTGATACAATCCAACAGGCAAGCCTGGTACACTGACTGAAAGTAGCCTCTCAAAGTCGTATTATATGCTGTAAATAAAGCCATGCTATAGTTTGAACCTAACTCTCCTCAAAAAGATTTGATTTGGTGTTGGAAGTAAACACTGCCCATAACATGCACCTCCTCCCCTTTATAAAATTAAAGTACCACAACAACACTTTTCCCTGAGCACTTTCATTTGTTCTTGGCTTTCTGAGGTTCTTTAAAGATTGCAACAACAGGCGAAAAAAAAACTTGATCAGAGTTTAAAAGAAATAAATATATATACTTAAACCTCAAGTCACAGAAGTATCACATGATTACCACTGCCTGAATGCAGGAAGATGAAGAAAGAGAAAGAGAAAGTCAGGCTGACTGCAGATCCAGCAATCACATCTTACAGGCACATGCAGTTAGGGTGAAAACATAGACAAAACCCTCAAAATCTTCATGAGCAAGTACTGATGTTTCTGACCTTTTTTTTTTAAACTATGTTTCTCAAAAAAAAAAGGAAAAGCATACAAGAATTTGCAAGTGCAGGCCTTAGAATTCTTACAGCTGATGGAAGTGCTTCAGAAAATTCAACTCTGAAGATCAATGTTTACAGCCTTTCAAAAATATATGACGTATCAACACCCTAATCAGCCTCATTGCTGACTGCTACATATGAAAGAGAAGCTTCAACACCTACTGAAATGAAATCAGGTAAAGCAAAAAGAACAGAATCTGCATCTCCTCAGGAATGACAGTGGGTAATAGTCACCTGGCTGCTTCTTCACTCCCAACAGAAGAGGCTCATCCCCCACTTGCCAGCACTTCCACTGGAGAACTAGCACAGAGTAGCAGGGCCACATCTACAGAACTTCAGCTGAGCAAAGATATGCACCTTTATGGTCCATTTCAGGAAATATTCATCTGAAGAGACTTTAATAGCGAAAAGATTTTAAGTACTTCTATACGGGTAAAAAGATCCCATCTCTCTTTTGTGCAGTCACTGCTTTGGGCTTCCATTTATGCATTTACAAGCACTGTTTTCACACGCATTACAGCTCAGTCATTTAGCAAGGATAATCTGACCACAGGTCATGAGCAGTTCAAGTGTGGCTCTGTTACAGGCTCTGAGGTAAAAGCTCACACATGGAGAGTGGATGCAGATCAGCTGATGTCTGCTGAATTGCCTTTAAGCAAGAAACCAGTGCCCATCTCTCACAACCGCTGTGCTGACCAGGAGACGGCGCTCTGTGCAGAAAGCGATTCAACCCCAGCATAGGAAACGCAGGTAAAGGCACCAGCAGGCAGCTCTGGGATACTGAGCAGGGAAAATGGAGATGAGAAACACGTATGTAAAAAAGCCAGCTGCGCAGAGACCGGGGAGACAGGGGGCACAGGCTGAAGCCCAGCTCTACAGCTCAGTTACACAAAGATTTTGGTGCATAGCTGCAATGTCCAGGAAGTTTGGTTGTTACATACCTCAGCCACCATCACTGGAGTCATTTACAATACAATAGAACACAAAGAATTACATTGTGATGCAATTTCTAATAAGCCAGATCTTACACAGTGCAGTCCTTTATCAAAGATAGCACAGATCAAACCTTTGATAGATTGTGCTCTGTAATTATCATTTCCGTCATCATCACCATCAAAGAGCAGTTATGGGATATGGCAGTCTGCTCTTTTTCCAAGAATAATTTTTTTTTTTAAAGGGTAAACTGTAGCTTCATATAAGGCCATTAGCACGTATTTGTGCTTTTGGCAGTAGGCATTAAAAATTATCAGAAATTCTAATGCCCAAATGTAAATGACTTTAATGAGTTTTATCTTGCTCTGAAGATATGCTAATAAATTTGGAGGAGCCAAATCACATAGGGCTTGGGGTACTCATTAATGCTTGGCCAGAAGCCAAATGCCAGCGAGGGAGCATTGTCACGGCACACATCAAGTTCTGTGACCAAAATAAAAATAGGTGGGTAAAAGGCATAGTAAGGCAAACTGCCTACACATACACACGTACAACCTGGTCAGGGGGCTTCTGCTGTAACAGCGAATCCTCCACCCCCTTCAGTGGCTTTGTTTGCTCCAAGGACTTTTTCCTGCTTCACACCCAGGCTGGCCTATCTTCATAGCAGGTTGTCCTTTCTAGGATTGCTTTAACTAGCTGTCACGGCTCTATTTACACCCTGGCAGACAGCCAAACTATCCATGCCCTAATATTATACACCAGAGAGCTTATACACACAGTCACCCTGTAAATATCCCATTTTCTGGATCTTTCAGTGTACACTGCTCCAGAAGCAACAACACATACTGAATTATTTTTTGTTTACAAAGCTCCATGTTCACTTATCATTCCAAAAGGAGCTACCTCCCCAACACAGCAAGATCACTTTCTCTGACCGTGTCTCAGACACTGCTGGAGCTGCTCCCAGTGCTTAGTCAAGCAAAAATGACTTGTACTGAAGCACCTTAAATTCAGGACAACTTTACAGTCACGTGCACAAGGCTGGAATTCCGGTGGCTGCTGTGAAGTTACATAGTTATTATGACAACTGCAGAATAGTCATGTAAAGTTTCAGCTTTCAAAGAAAACCAAACCCAGCCACTTATGCCACTAATGTCCATTAGTGAAATACAACCAAAGAGTAAGTCAGGAACACGTGAGAACTCTCTGTGCTGGTGCATCCAGCTTAGATGTTTACATTGACATTGTTCTCCTTTCTTTTAAATCATAAACCCGCTGAAAGAACTGACTTGAAGTAATTAAACATTTTGCTAAAAACCAGCAAATCTATGCATCCCATAACTCTAACTGGCCTCCAAGTGATTTCCAGATAATAATTAAAATTAAAATTTATTATCTGGATACTTTAAAAACAATGCTATGCCTCTAAGAAAAATAGATTAACTATGGTAAGATTTTCGCAGACTTAAAGCTATAAAATTTAGTTTAAGTACTTCATGTATCACTGCATTTCACTTTGAAAACTTGCCCAAGTACATATAAATACAGATAATTTAAGCAACAAAATGAAACTTAACTATTCACTGCTCCAAATCCAGACAACCATCAGAGTCTGCAAAAAAGTCTAAAAGGGACAAACGCTTATTTATCTTAACAACTGTTGAAAACTGCTGCTCTTTGTATAGGTTAAAACACAAAGCATTCCTTTGCAGCCAATCCTCTGGTCTGCTATAGATCTAATCAAGACTATGTCAGAGCGACTCTTCCTTTCACACTGGAGCATCTGTGCCTGAGAGGAGGAAGAAGGAAGGATATTTTTAGCCACTACATTTGAACGCATACTGCCATGTGATGTCCTCAGTCTGTAGTCAGCCCCGTTTTACAGCAAGAGTGGCTCAACTGCTTGCTGCCCATCGGCTTCCCAGTTTGATAACAGATCTCTTATCAACAAAAGCCCATCTGTTCCCGTGGAAGTGGACAAGAGGCACTGCTAAGAGCCTCACAACAAGGCAGTTCCCAAGTTTTAGCCAGGACAGCTCACACAGCAAGCATCCCCATCCACTTCCAGTTCTGTACCTAGCAAGTATTTTCAAGCATAACTTTTCCACACCACTCTTGAACCTCTCAAAACCAAATACCTTTCAGGAACATAACAAGCAGATCTGACACCTCAACTCTCAAGCTGACTCCCATATGCAAACACAAAACTAAACATAAGGCCTCAACTGTACTTATGTACTTGTGAATTTAGTCAAATTCATCAGAATGCTTGGATTTTGGATACAAAACCCAAAAAAAAACTTCAGAGAGGGCTCTGAGTTTTGGCTGAATCCCTCTTTTCCCTGAGTTGTAAGGTTTTGGGATTCTTGCTGTGCTAGCTGAAACAGAAGGTAGCACAACTGCTCAAGTACAACCCGTATGCTGCCAACGTGGGTTTTCTTCTCAGCAAAGTTGTGTTAGCACTGCCAAGAAGACAATGCAATGTATTAAAAACACTCCCAAAGTCTCAGGAATCCAAGGAAAGTGCTTGTGACACTCAAAATGGGGCAGGAATTAAATTTTTTTAAGTGAATAAATGTTTCAAAGGCAGAAATTCTGTAACTGAATTTTTAAGCCCAGAAATCACTTGTCCCAGGGTGGA